ATTTTCTCACTTCTTCCACTAAACTTTCCATTATGAGTTACTTCTCTGAATGCCAATCTACAGTACTGCGTACAGGAACAATCTACCTACAATAATAATTGTACAGTATTACGACAGAAGCTTTTTCAATCTGTATTTTATTCTGCTCTTTTCAATTTTGCGGTACTGTACTGTACAGTGTACAGTATCTGTGGCTCTGGTTTTGTTCTGTACAGTACAGTACAGTCAGGGTCTCTGGTGTACTGTACAGTACTGTACTCTAGTGATGAAGAACAAGAAAAGACCTTTGTTTCAATGCCCCAAAGTTCCCATGTAATACAGTATACTGTACGTACTTGTAGAAGAGTGCCATGTGTCGCAGTGTGAAAGCACGCGAAGTAAGTTTTCCAATTTCCCCCAAAATGACACGCCTGACCGTACTAGTTTTTCCCTTGGGCTTGGCGGGGTGCTGTCACTGCAGTGAGCTAAAAATAAACAAATGCGTCGATGCAAGTCGCAATATTGCATTATGCTGTTGTGTCTTTTACGTACGTGACTACGTACATGACTACAGACAGATTACAAGACCGACCCCCGCACTTGACTTGGTGCTGCATGGCATGAGTCATTCATTCTGGACTAGCCTACAGTACTGTAGCTTCATGTAACTCTTGACTGTGCGACGCGATCGAACAACAGGACGTAAACCTGCTGCAGTACAGTACGTGTAGAGACAAGTTGTCAGACAACATACAGTACTGTACTGTAGTCATTCGAGATTACCAATGACAGTACTGTACTGTACTGTACTGTCTGTACGGACGGCACAATGGAGTATTGTACTCTACAGTGTACAGTACGTGCAGTACAGTATACTGTACAGTACAGCGTAGTGTGTAGTGTAAGTGATCCAGGTTTAGTTGTATCTCTATGACTACAGCAAATTCAAACCATTACATGTCATGTTACTGTACTGTACTGTACAAGTGTACAAGTGTACAATGGACACACACTGCAAGCTATTATGAGTCAATCAGTTGACAGCCTGTTGTGATGTCACTAAGCAACTTTGTCAGCTGACTGCGGCGTTGTGTTTATAAACATCATCTAAATATAGCTCGAACAGACGAGTATAATAGCGCGATTGGTCCAATAGACCTTTCAGGGATAGCGATTGGCTACCACTTCACCAATCAGCGTAATCCTAATTAGTGGATCAAAATCTTGCCCCTGTTAAATTGGGTCACTTTTCGGGGGTCCCAGTTAGTTTGTAAGGGTTGTTGATTTTTACTGCAGAAAAACATTGAAGGAGATTTTTTTTCGTTCATTAGAAAAAAAAATTAGTCCAGTGAAAAATCTCAAATTGGTAGATAATCCAAGCCACTTGAGTTGCTATTCAGTTACAATTTATCCAAAAGTAGCATTACTGCAGTTGTACAGTAGCAGTTTTACTATTCAACATGAACGAACCACCACCGAAGATGGACAGTCTGATCAGGATTGGAATTGATTTTTTACTTTCTTACATTAAAGATGAGAGTTTGCCGCAGAGTGGCTTGGACCAGTTCGCTTCTGAGTTGGAACTTGCTGTGACAGCCAAATTCGACGGCCACTGGTATCCTCAACAACCGAGTAAAGGTAGCGCTTACCGATGTATAGTCATCAACGGCAAGCTACATCCACTTTTAGAACAAGCGGCGAAAAAAGTTGGTGTATCATCCCAAATTATTGCTAAACATTTTCCTAATAAGTTATACTTATGGATTGATCCCAATGAAGTGTCATATCGCATCAACGACCAGCGAGCGATCAAAACTTTGTATAGTGCACCCAATACTAACGGCATGCAGTATACTTATAACCAAAGTAACGACTACAAGATGATGGAACAACAGTTGAAGAATGGCTTAACTGTTAATGACAGCTTCACTCCCGCTCAAGGCAGTGGTGACTCGCCCAAAGGCTTTTACACTCGCAACTCTTTGTGGATACCTACCACTGGAACAACTTCGATGGGATTCAGCCAGAGTTACACCATGGCCTCGGGCCAACCTCAATATTTTGATTCTGGACTTTCTAGAACTGAGTTAAGCGACAGCTTCAATATGGAACCAATGCAAGGTAGCCCAATGCATCACAATCACTACCAACAATATCAGCAACATCACCAACAAAGTAATAATAATGTAGACTACTCACAAAGCGGGACAAATAGGAACAATTCTCAGATGAATCATTTCCCGCAGTATGAAGTGGTGGTGAATTAAAGCTGGCGTTTTAGATGTCGGTAGCAATGCCAGCTGTAGTGAAGATTTTAAAAATGCCATGTATAGATAAGTTGATAAATTGTTGAAAAAGGACAGCATTAATATGTGGTCCTCTTTTATTAAAAGTCTGTACTGTATAAATTGTATAGATTCCCACCCATAATATAGTATACTATGCACAAATCGCTATAGCGATTTTTATGTTTCCGACATATTATTATTATTAAAAAAATGTATGATCCTGTATAGTATTGTGCGGTAGAATTGCTGTACTATATTCAATCTGTGAGATAAAGATATTCTATAGTTGATTGGAGTCATGACCGTGTATGAAATGGATGTTGATACAATTTTTCTTGAACTAAGATTTACGCGCATACGAATAGTGTACAATATATACTTATTTACTACTGCATCAATGCGGTTGAAGATGATTGTAGATATCATCAATTTCCTGCTTCGGTTGGTAAATTTGTTTATTGCCGAAAAAATTGATTAAAGATTCGCTGTATTTTCCAGTGCCTGCTATAAGTTATCGTCAATAGCTATTGTACGTTGTTTCTCGTTTATTTTTAATATTTGATTCTATAATTTGTATTCCAGTTGATTTCTACTCGCTAATTTATCGCCTTTTTTCGAACTGGAATCAATATCGGCAATAAAATGGCTCATTCTTGCATAATAGCTCACGTTTACTTGTTTTTATTCCATATTTTTAGTATGATTTTTTCAGCTGATGCAATAGTATCCTTCCAGAAAGACTCCACTGTTACCGTACTGCTGCACTCAATAGCCCTTTGAGAAGAGATAGCCTAAATTAATTAATTAATCCAATTTATACTGGCTAATCCTTCGAGGAGATAGTTATAGTGCGTTCAACAAAAGCTCCCAGTAACGAANAAAACGAAACATTATTTTATTCACATCTCGCCCAANAAGATTGAACAAGCAAGACGCCAAGTTGTTTCATAAATGCTTGATTGATTGATTGATTTCATGTTTCTGTCCAGCAAAGTGTACAGTACTCTGTCAACGTACGCTGGGATCTCATCTGACAACAGCAAACTTTGACGACTAGACTAATACCTTATCTTAATACAGTATTACGACATGAAAGCTTTGAGAAAGTGCTTTTCTTCAATTTCTCTCCATTGTGGGAAAGTGAAGGTTAACTGCAAGGAACGAGTAGTGAAAAATAGACAAGGGAAAAAAAATTTGGAGTCTAGAAAAAAAAAAAAAATTTTCACATCTTCTCATCCAGTCATCCGTGACGTCCAGTACTGTACAGTATTTGCTGGCCAATGGTTCAGTTAATTCGTGACCGTACAGTACAGAACTATCACCATTAGTCTACTGTATCATAGGGTGCGTTGTGCCAGCGTTTGGCGGAATGGTATACTGTACACAGTACAGTAGCATTACAGTACATGAACTTGGTATACTGTAAACTGGACAATATTGTACTGTAGTCTGTACTGTACAACGTATGGTTATACTGTACAGTACTTTAGTGTGACGTACAATACATTGAGTACAGTGTACGTCTGCCCTATGACAATATTGACACTGACTGTACAGTATGAGCGTATAGAGAGGTACAGTACTGTGAGTGTACTGTACTGCACCTGCGCATTTCGCCACCGCTCCATTTACCGGTGTGCTGTACTGTAATGTCTTGTAACAGTAACACATCCAATGGCCGGTGCTCATTTGCTGCCGCATTTCTCCAATTTTAACACTCAACACACTAAGCAGCACACTGACTACACTACAACATGCTGTAGCTTGATACGTGCAATTTGGATGTAAACGCTCAGTTCAAAGTCATTCACAGTCCAGTACAGTATACAAGATAGGATGGCAATTTTTCGCAGCAGAATCGACAGCAAGAAATTAGCATACTGTAGTAGGACAGAAACAGCGTGCGAGTGGGCGCTGGTCCATTATTCTACTGTACAGTGTACAGTATGCACTATGCAGTACAATTTTCCAAGTACTGTATCTGCTGTACTGTACTGTGGTACAGTCAACTGAACGCGTTTCTGGCAATACATCACACGCATAAACATGCCCGCAATCTTGTTGTTGACAGTCAGCTAATCACCCACGAGGTAATCGTCAATCTAGCAAATAGTTTGACTGCATATGGATTGATAGACTATTTACAAAGTTCATAACAACATTCGCTTATCCTTCAAAACAGTCGGTGGTTGTACGATTCCGAGCTTGTGATCGGCTAGTTGCCATCACAATGCGTGAAGTAACGACTGTAAAGTGGTATCGCTTCACCGCTGTTGCAGTGGTGTACTTCTGATCCAACTATGCAAGGCAATCAGTACAACTAGTGTAGTTCTCTAGGACGATCGAGGCAAATGCCCAATTAATTGACTTCTATCAGTACTGCACATCGATTAGTAATTTAGCTAATACCATCCAAGTACATGCGAATCATCTACTAGTTTCAGTAGCCCATGATACGCGTATGAATACGGAAATGGACATCCTTAATTCATCTACCATACAGTATCAAAATCTCATTTAATAATAATAATAATAATACTTCATTATAATCTGTATAGACATATATATAATCAGATAAAGGCTCAAGTACAGTACAGTACTATCGAATTGCATATACAATCCTGGTTAAACAGATGTTACACTATGTAAGTTGATTTCGCAACTACGAAACGGAAGCAACTAGACGAGTAGTAAAATATACTTAGCGAAAATGTACAAAAGTTCTTGCCTTCAAAAATAATAAAAACTCATCAATCACGAATTCTTCATAGACTGCCTAGAAAGTAGATTTTATAAACATTTTCATCTCCATAACCGTTCCAAGGACGTTAAACGTTATACAATCAGTAATAATCTTCGAAATCTTCATTACCAGCCGAAGCACTAACTATATTTTGTTGACTTCTATACAAAACCGCAACCTGCATGAATTAATTATTAGAAAGTCATAAACAGCCATATACTGTAGTGAAATAATAATTAGAATTTAGCAGAGGGAATATTCAAGTCCATTTTATAAGCATTCGCAAAAGACTGCAAATTTCCTACCTGAGAAGCTGTTGTAGCTTCTTCCGGTTTTTTGTCATCACGAATACGTAGAAATCGAGGAAATCGCAAAGATATTCCCTTCTCTGGATCAACCTTTATCAATCACAAATTATTATAAATAAATAATTAAAGCACACTAATACACTATTAGGAGAAATATTGTCCTATAGTTCTGTCATAAGCACAAGCTTAACTGTGATCGTTTCTAGCATTGCTAATACAGACCCTAGACTAGGCATTGACATGAATTCAGCATATAATAATGACAAATGAAGCCACTTTGCTCTGTATAGATATGACAATGAAACTTACTATTCCAGCGGCAGCCTTATGAACTGGTGATATCGATAGATCAGCTACTTTAACTTCCCATACCTGTATAAATTACAGTATAATGCACATCATTAAATAGCGACATTGACAACATTCCTACATTGACACTTACTTGTACAGCTTCAAACCAATGATCCGGTTGGACACTACTATCATAGCGATAGTAAGATTTCGGTTTTTCAATAGTTTGCTGCTTGAGAAAGTTTGTGTGCTGTTCTAATTCAACATCTTTAAATCCTGTTCCAATCTACAAATATTGAACCGAAATAACATTCAATTACAGTACGAATATTTATTTAAAGTTAAAAAGAAATTTATTGGTGAACTATTTAGGATCAAACTATGCGTGAACAAACGTAGTCACCATACCTTACATATTGACTGAAACTCTTCGTCTTCATCGTTATAACATGCCAACAAAAAACCACCATATGTTCCTGTTCTCTTCCCCTTACCAAGATAACCTCCAATGACGACTAGATCCAAAGTATCACCAACACCTTCCAAATAGTCCTTTTTCAGCTATTCATAAAAGAATTACATAATCATTAAAGTATCAACTAAACAGCATGAGAATTCAATCGTATCAAGTATGCTTTTCATTCGTTAGTCAAGCAACAAGAAGTACGCAAACCTTATCATACAAGTGCATGTAGGCAGCTTTCATCAGTAATAGAAAAAATAAGAAAAAAACAAACCTTCAACCAGCTATGAGATCGTTTGGCAATTTCATAAGTAGCTTCGATTTGTAAAGTTTTAACCATCAGTCCTTCACAATTACCTAAATATAATCACGAGTGTGCAATTAATTAAATCTTAAAGTCATAACTATGGTGATGAATTAAAATTTAATTTAACTTATATAATTCACACAAAATGCTTTAGTTTCTTAGAATAAAATCGCTTCATTCTTACCTTTAATAGATTCATCAAGAAATTCGCCAATTTCTTCTGTGTCTGCAGAGATCCTTGACTTTGCAAACACAAATTCCTAAAAATTGAGAAAAAATTACCAGTTAAGTCAAAGAATCGTATTGAACGGCAGCTATTATTAAATGGCATTACCCCCTCTACTTCTTTAAAGGATGACCTCAACACCGATCTTCGTTTCTCGAAAGTTTCTTTAACCAAAGACTATGAAAAGTGCAAGAAAATAGATCCAAACTTAGTCATTAAAATACTGCAATGTAAACTAGTCTGGATTAGCAAAGTAGCAGCTTTAAAATGTTACCTTGCCATTGCAGTACAACATATCAAATGCATAAACACAAACTTGGACTTTGATTTCATTAGCATCAACGTCCTAAAAACACGCAAGTTTAAAACGTCACATTAAATACCGATTCGACACATTAATTTCAAATTTTACAAATTTTTTCGCTATGCTATCCCGTGATAACCGATTATAATTCTAGCAAACAAAGGCTTCGAAGAATTACTGCTGCAATACTTGGGCCGTAATATGAAATTACCTTACGTTTCCTGGTGCTTAAGATCTGAAAAGGTAAAATCTGCTGTTTTTCTTTATCCCAAGCGACAGCTTCCGTATCAATAATGAAGGAGTTGATGTGATCCAATTTTACCTCTGGCATACGCATGATTATATCTGGATACTTTGTGGTATTGTTCTCACAATTGCGACTATAAATTTGCACTTCTCCATTATCTAATAAATGAATCTACAAAATATTGAAACTTTTAGTGTAAACAACATCAGTCAATGAAGTTTTATTTCCTATAACGACTGATATTAGCCTACCTGAGCCCTTTCCCCATCATATTTATATTCACAAGCAAAACTTTTATCTTCTAGGCGTTTCAATACTTCATGTATTCCTTTAGTTGGATGAGCAAGCATAGGCTTCAAAGGAACACCTAAACAGTAGTATAAGGTAGATCACAATTGATTGAATAAAATTCATTACTTCACTGTAGCAAAATGTTCATCATAAATTATAACCTGGGGACAATTTGCAATGTTCCGATAATTCGTGAATACCATATTTTAAAAGGGCCGGTATGACAAGATCGTAATTTGGACACTGGCTGTTAACAATATACATAAATTACTTGTACACTAGGTATACGAAGGTACCAGAAACGAAAGAGTGAAATTCTAATTACCAGTGTGCATCCTTTAGTAACAAAGCCCCATTGTCTAATTCTTTCTTGAAAGCATCAACTGCCTTACCTTTGCTAGCATCTATTATATGCGGTGGATATACTACATTTAAATATGAGGCATGGCGTTAGAAATTAGCGAGCGCAATATGTAAAAAATAATTAACAAACAAGCAGTTTGCAAGCGATGCAAGGGCTACACACGATCGCCTACCTTGATTTGATGGTGTATAGATAGTGGCATGTGCCAATGCAACTAGAACTGATTGCTCAGCTAGGCCAATTCTTAATTTTCCACCTAAAGATCTAGATCATATTGATATACAAATTAGGACCGAAACTATAATGCTTAGATGTTCACCTAGTAGTCGAAATAATCTCGTTAAACCTCATTAGAAATCTCGCTTCCGAGTGTCTGCAAGCTACAAACATCTCCTTGATTTTATCCGACTTTCTGTTCATTGACTTTAAAAGTTATACAAAAATGCAACAAGTTATGCACATATACAAGTTTAAATAGCCGCTCACAATAACATTACACACAATCGAGTAACGGTAAATTCAAATTTTGCAACGTACTGCTGTTCCAGTCATTTTTGCAATGTCTTTAAGCTTTGAAAATACGCTGCGCACTGTAAGTTTAGCTGGAGTAAACATTGTTCGTTGATTGCTACGACTAGTCTACAAATTATTCGTTATTGGAATTAATAAAAACAACCATATAATGGTATAGGAGTAATTACTCTCATAAAATATAAAACTCACCTCCGCTACAATCCCAACGTCACCACGTTCTGTAACATCTGCCTTAATTGAGGCTAAGCTTCGGCCTTGAAGTTAGAAAAGACATCAGAATTAAAGATTGACTCCCTCATAGATTAGTTTGTGTATTTTACAAGTTGGACAACTAAAAAAGAAGTAGTTCACGGTACCTGTTGCTTGTGCAATCGCTTTCATTAGTATTGTTTCGCCGATACCTAATTCTAATCCCTCATAAGCTGGACCAACCTATAAGTTATAAGGATATACCTTTAGCATTTCTTTTAACCTTTATAATAATATGTAAGCATTTATCGAAATTTCTACGGAAATTAGAACTTACCTTATTCAGGCACATATAAACACAGAACGTTAAATCTTCTGGCGTTAAAATGATTACAGATCGGAAAAAATTTCGCAGCGTTGAAATAATTTTTAATCTAAGAACCCAATACATAATAGTAAATGAAATGCTGAATACCTATAAATGAACCGTTTAAAAATTTCATAGAAACAATATGAATGATTTCCAAGCTATTCTAATCAGTCTCATCTGCAATACTAGGCAGGACAATAGTCTCTGCAGTAATTCTGCAAAATACGTAACAGTCTGCAAAAGCTGTGTAGTAAATATTTCATATTTTATATCCTCTAATTATATTAAGGCGAATTGACGTCAATCCAGTGTGATATAAAAATGATCTAAGATTTACTCTCTAGAATATTTTACCGTGCTGAAGTAGCTTCGATTTCATCGAATGTTCGAGATATAGCAATGTATGGGACTCTAGACAACGATATAAAAATTTTAAATTCATGAACCCTTTAATCAATCCATATTATTGGCATACCAGGTACACAGCAACATTTATTTATTGAATCTATCCTTCCAAAACAGATAATATTTTACAGCTGTATAACTATTCCATAACTGCAAGATATCCACGCATTATTATATAGTATGAATTTCAAGAATACACACACTACTTCTCTTTTAACATTATTTTTTCCAAGAAATAATACATATGGAATACCTTTGCTTTAAGGCCCAGCAAGCATCTCGTATAGGATGGTAAGATTCCTTAGATGGAGAATACAAAGGTCCATCAACGGGCTTGATATCTTCATAGTCTACTTGCCTATCAAAGAGTAAAACCGTAAAACGATGTAATAATGCACAAACGATGCAAGATTCATGCGCAATATCAAGTCTATCATCGTACGGTGTTTGCACTGGCGCATCGTCTTCTTTCTGGTTCATACAATCTTCATTGCTGGAAGCCATTGCATCACGCTTTTCAGCTATAGCATTTCATCGGTTATAAAGTGTATCAGTAATCACAGTAGCACAGATAGTTATAAGCTATGTTGCAGACTTATAGTTGTTAGCTAAACACTAGATTCTAATCTATTTTTAACCAAAGTGATTGTTCTTAAGCGCAAAACATCTTCCTGTCATATCCTTGTAATAATACGTACTTTTTATCCTTGGAGATAACGAGTCCTTCTCTTCAACATGACTGGCCTCTTTGTTTGTATTACAGTCATCTCCATCCAGCATTGTATGATTACCAGAGTTGCTTGAAGTCGCACTATTTCCATTTAAAGGGATGGCTTGAATATTCTTTACCGGATTACATGTATTCGTATCTGATAGAGTAGAGTTGCCCTGTCGATATAAACATACGAGTACAATTAATATGACAATTTTAATTGACCACAATAACTCAGTCGTTAATACAGTAGTAAGTAAGTCAGTAAGTTGTACATGTTCTTCGTCATCACTGTCGTTCGGAAGATGCATGACACGAGATCGCTTCTTTTGCGGTTGTTTATCGATAATTTTGTCATCTTTTATGTTTTCACTGTCAAGCCTATGCCGAAATGCAACAAAATGGAACGATTATGTTTACCTATCGCATTCTAATAAATAGTACGACAAAAAAATTAATTCTAAGGTGACAATTTTCTGGAAACTACTATAGCATTTACTGGAGTTGATAAAACTAACTTAAAACAATATTGGTTGAATAAATAAAATACTGGAAACTTACTGTCGTTTATCAGGGACTTTGTTGCTTTTCGGTGCAAAGAATTGCCTACATCAGTTACAGAAAAGAAAGGTGTTATATACCAAATTTTAGAAATAGATTTTACAAAACGCAATCTATTCAACATAGTGGCAGTAAAGAATGCAAAAAATGGATTAGGTCTGGCACTAAAAGCGCGATTGATTATCCTCTTGAGATGCTCGTATAGTTCATGTCGATACAATCTATACGATATCGCCATTTGAAAATGATATCCTTGTATAATATAATTTCAATAATGATTATCATATACAGCAAGCACTGATTTGTCAAACTTACGATATCGATAATTGAGACATAGTGATTGTCCTAGTTGGAGGATTCTTCCTAGCGAAAGCAATACGGTAACAACACGTTAAATGTTGTCGAAGTATAATTCTTGTCCACATTTGCGTATATATGATTCTCATTGGACATTGCATGACGATGATAATTATTCACAAAAAACGTGACGACCAATGCAGCCTTATTGCGTAGGGACAATCAATCTGACAATCTTTATTCATGAAGTTAATTTGCTGCCACAGCTGTAGCGATTTTCCTTAATAGGCTATTATCATCGGAATGCACCGAAACCATTTCTCGTTCCTTCATCACTTTAGCTTTGGAATACTGTACTACAGTCTACCCATAGCACGATCATTAGCATCTCAGTGCATTCGCGAGTGATGCTTTTCTAATCAGGAGATAAAATTGTCAATTTTCATTGACATCCTATCAATTGTATATTGAATATGCCATTTCTATCTAGTTTGTCATTGAATTGATTATTAACATCCATGATGAATTTGAATTGCATTTCAGGGGAAAATGCAACTACAATTGTGTATCACTGAATCATCAGAATCGTCCATTGTTGGCCCTTTACGATATCGTATAGGGTGTCGAAAAATAAGTCGATCATGTGTAATCTTTGTATAGCAATGAATCTATCTAGGCGATTGTACAGTCTACCCTTTACTGTGCATTCATGTCCACTTTACTACAACATCAATTCATTGTAGAGATCCACAATAAAGTCGAGTCTAGCAGAGTAGAGCAATATGAATGTGGACCTACTCGTCCTGGTGCAAATTGATCAATAAATTATGACTGTATTATTGTGATTATTTCTTGCTCAGTAGTTGAGCACATCCTGTACGGTAGAGTACACATTACAATTGAATAATCAGCTAATCCAAAAGCAATATCATACAGTATTCTATGCAGTCAATAGAGCGGAGAGAATTCATCAAACTATTACTTGCTTACCCTATATAGTATTAACCTTTAATTGATGGAACCTGATCAATTTGCAATGCTAGAGTTCCTCCGATGAGCAGTTGAACGATGGAATCAATTAATTCCTTTCCATGCAATTACGTAATAGCCTCCACGCAAACTTGATTGAACATAGGCTTGATACAAAATAATGGACCCCGGAGTCCTGTATCGTACAGTAGTATAGCAAGTTTGGCGGTTTGGGGGATTTTTCCCGCCAAATTCCGATTTGGAAATAGGTAGTATACTGTGCCATGTACTACTCAATCTGCGGTCGATTTACTCATGCAGTCTACTGTCATTGACTACTAAATCCATGTACTGCTTACGATAGCAGTGGTACAGTGTACAGTACTGTCCAGTTGTTAACATACTGTACACTGTAATCTACAGTACATGTACAGTACAGTATAGAACACACTTCAATTTCAACAGCTTTTACTATGGAGAAAATGGAAGCGATCGAATTCGATGCCGAGCTCTGTACAGTACAGTATAATAAAAGGAGACCTGGACGGATCACGCTTGGACGGACAGACCTTTTCGGCTGCATCTCGTCAAAATAGATATTGTGTAAGGTAGAGCAAGAAAGTTTTCTTCTCTGAAACAGCTCTCTCTCGTCCCAGTCTACAGTAGAAGTAGAAAGACATACAGTATTATTACAGTGTGCATCGAATTAGATGCCTTCAATTTTCTCTACAGGACAGTACTGTATATCAGAAACTTCAATTGGAACAGCTTTTACTAGAGAGAAAATTGAAGCGATCGAATTCGATGCCCAGCTCTGTATACAGGACTGTAATATAAGAAGACCTGGACTGAGCATGCTTGGACGGACAGACCTTTTCGGCTTCTTCTCGTCAAAATAGATATTGTGTACTGTATATATACTGTAGAGCAAGAAAGTTTTCTTCTCTGAAACAGCTCTCTCTCGTCCCAGTCTACAGTACTGTACTGTACAGTAGAAGTAGGAAGACATACAATACCAAATTTGTCTAATAAGGACTTGAGACTATAATTTCATATGATTCCAAACAGT